CCCCCCCTTCTAGACTTCTGCCTCTTTCTACTGCTACTCCTGGCTCCTTCTTACTGCAGCTGCTATCTTTCTGCCACACCCCTGATCTTAGGGTAGGTAATATCTAACACCTAGCTTTCTCGGATAAAGGCTGAAAATTTCGGAGGTCCTGCGTTTAAGTTGCGCACGTTAAAGGTCCCTTAGTTGTCGTAAAATCGATAAGAGAAGGCTTCGAACGCCACCCGGGCAAAATTCGAAATCAACGCCTTTCAAACTGAAAAGGATCGATGTGTCGCGTGCGCTCATATGCAATATGAAGTTGCGAGCGCCGTAAAACACTTACAAATAAGAATAAATAAATAAATAAATGATTTTTTAAAAACCCTCTTACACCAAGGTCCTTTGAGTGAGTTGAGCACCATGTGCTCCCTGGGGCTAAGCATGGGCGACGGGGCGGCTGGTGACGTCATAGGTCTGTTGTGGGCACTCAGCATCTGATGGGCAGAAACACCGCATTGTGTCAGACAAGAGGGAACAATAGTACAGAGGAAACGAACGCAGCTTCTATTATCCTCCTTGCTTTTGTTTTTATTTTGTGTTTTGTTTGGTTTGGTTTGGTTTGGTTTTGTATTGTCTTTAGGAAAAAGGGGATTATTGTGGTTTGTTTGTGAGCTTGTGTGTTTGTTTGTTTGTTTGTTTGTTTGTTTGTTTGTTTGTCTGGTTGTTTATTTGTCATTGTTTTGTGGGGGTTGGGAGGAGGGGGCGGGCGCTCCGTTGCTATCTTTTATTCTTGTTCATTAGAGCGCAGTCTGGGCTCTTAGTAAATATTTCAGGACGGACACCGAAAGTTATCCTGAACCAATCGAGTCGAACCTCAAACTTGAGCTTGGCAGATCTCTTTACTTCACCAAATAAGCCGGCATTGGTCTCTGTTTTCTTGTCTTTTTATTTTTGGTTGTCTGTTTGTTTGTTTTCTTTTTGTTGTTGTTGTTTTGTTGTTGTTGTTGGGGTTTTTTTTTGGGGGGGGGTTGTTGTTTTGCTGAGGGTGGTATTATTTTTGTGTTTTTGCTTTTTTATTGTTTGCTGTTTTATTTTTTGTTTAAAAATGAATGCACGTGAAACAAGAAATGTAACACCCATTTTTATTACATATCCTCTACGCTCGTCAGGCTGTGCAGTGTGTGGAGGAGGAGGAGGAGGA